AGCCTCCTTTCATAAAAACCCAGGTTGGGTTCTCCACAAAGCACCCTCCGCCGCCTCCCGCCTATCGACCTACGCTAAAATCGACTCTACCACCGGAATATCCACCCCCTCCTGCAGGAGGTCAGTCTTCTCGTCATAATTACTGGTGAGACAATGGTTTTAATTGTGTTCTAAAAGAAATATCAGTAAGATTAACAATAATAACTTTTAAATTATTTCAGTCTTCTCTGTTGCGTCGGTAGCAGCTGTAAGGAGAGTGAATAAACTAAAGCCAATATCAGAAAAAGTAGCTTAAAATTGCTAAATTCTTTGAGAAGTGCCATTTCAGTCTAAGAAACACTGCTATGGATAAAAATATATCGGAAATTTTTAACTGGATGACTGGATTTTGCATGAACTTTATTTACGTGTCAAAATATCCCAACAAAGAAACATCTACTGGTGACATATCTAAACGGTATATTCAAATTCTTTGATGCTTGTGAATGCGAGTAAGAAGCTTGTTAGTTTAAACAACGACTGCTGCTCAAATTTTAAAAAAATATATTTTCGTTTTTAACTATTTATTTACAAAGCTCCCGTGAAGTAGTTATCTAATCATATTTCTGAGCTCCAGATAAAGATAGAGCGGCTGAATGAATTGTCTCTTAGCCCACATGTTCATTGAAATTTAATTTCAGGTAACCAACCTTTGTTAATCTGTGCTCTAGAAATGACAATCCTTGTTTGGCGGAAAAACGAAAAGTATTTCAAATAACTGTGTCGAAGAACACTTGCTTCGCTTTAAAACAAACCAGTTACAACAGCTAATACTTTTGCAGTTTGACAAAATGCAAAATACATGCATATTGTTCAGTGAAGTTAACACAAATTAATGTTCTCTAAGGTAAATTCTTCAAACGACGACGCTTTCATTTCCCTCCATTACCCTAAATATTCTCTTACGGAAAACTAAAACCCTCAGTACTGTCAACAACATCTAACTCAAGAAAAGCAATAATCCTCGCAGGTGAACAGAAATTAGGAAGTCGCAGAAAAGAAGCCGGGAAAAAATTGAGGCTTAGACCGGATTCGAACCCAGGTCTTCCAGATAACAGCTGGGCGCCTCTAGCAACTGAGCGAAGATGCCACGCGTTGAAGTTTGGAAGTAGAGTACTTTTCAGAGGGTTCACTGTGTCACTGTGGGTAACTTCTCAGCTGGCATACTTTAGATCTAAATACAAAAATTAATGGAAATTCTAAGATCAAATTCTTAATTTTTGAAAACTGGAAATAATTTTTTACTTTTTTCAATTTATTTTACAGGTTTACCCCTTTAAGGGAAGTTGATTTACTACGTTTTTTTGGCCTGCATGGGAATAAGCTCTCTGAGAAAAAGCAATGCGCAAGTGCGGCAAAGAGCAGACTCACAATACCCCCAAAACTGACTCTAACTACCGACTCGTGCGTAGTCGTCTAGCTCGCGCGTATTGATTTAAGACACTCGCGCCTTGTTTAGTTGCCACGCAGATCGATCTGTATTAAATATATACCTCCATTGTTATAGGACGTTTGCAATCACGTGCTGAGTAGCTACGTAAATTAAATGGAACAAAAAAGCTCTAACTTTACATCTAAAAAAAGAGAGTCAACCCAACAGGAATGACCCACACCCCAACACGGCCGCCGTGACGTCATGTAAAAACTATCTATGGAGTTAGAGAAAGATGTTTATCGTCTTTTCACGAGCGTGGGACAGGAAAAGTTCTGAGTTCCCATGAGTACTCGAACCTCAGACCTTCGGTCCACAGGGGGAGGTTCGATTCCTCACGGGGGATCAGAATTTCTTCTTTGTCTCACGCTCGTGACAAGACGAAAAACATCTTTGTCTGTTTCTTTAATGATTTAATAATTTTTTAATAATTTTTTAATAATTAAAACTTACCACCTTTCCTACTCTCTCTATAGGGTTGTTTGACCAACCCATCAAGATTGGAAAGAATGATTTTTATCTTTAGGCTGACTGAGTAAACCCACTCAATGTTAAATTTACAACAATAAACCGTTAAATGTTACTAAAATGCAGTGTACAAGATATACAAAATGTGACTAAGATACGAGTTGACCACTAAACCAACCTTATCCACAAATTTTTTGTATTTTGTTCCATCTGTAACACATATGACTAAGACCTCGCCAATTTTTGAGTCATCTTCAATCAATTCTACAACCCCCCTTGCCACATCCACAACTCTGTTGGAAAATAGGAAATATTGGTATGAGTCAGTCCAAGACAGTGTGTCTGGATGTCTGTCTGTCTGTCTGTCTGCCTGTCTATCTGTTTATCTTTCTGACTGTCCAACTGTATCTCTATCTGTTTTGGTGTCTGTCAGACTCTTAGTCCGTATCTGTCTATCGGCATTTCTGTCCATTCCACTGTCTGTGACTATCTCTCTGCACTTGTCTGCTTAACTGTCTGTCTGTCTGTATGACTGACTGCCATAGGTCAAGGGAATATACTACAAAATGAGGTAAAAAGAAATAAACCACAGCCAGTAGGACTGCATAATGACAGGGAAGGTGTTTACTTATTACATGTAGGTGGATGTGGGTCACTAGAAGGCCATGTAAACAGCACATGATCACCATCCCATGTAAGTTAATTTCTTACGGTTGCTTGGGCAGGCTATCCTGAGCTTCAATTTCCTGCTTTGTCAATCTGTGTCTAGGAAAGTCCATTTCTGTGTCTGTTCTTCCAGGACATATACAGTTAACACGGATTCCTGTATCTCTGATGGCTACCTTCAGTTCAAAAGTAGCAACAAAGAAAGAAATATTTGAGGGTTGAACAGCACAAATGGATAATGGCTTCTCAAAACAGATGACAGCTTGAAACAAAATGATAATATGTTAACTTAAAATTGTTGCAAGACAAGCTGGTATCAATCAGGATTATTTATTCACTGAAATATATACTTATTGCAGTTTTTGTTTGTGCAATTTCATTTCTATTTCTTTCACCAACTCTTGGTTTGTGAATATATCCCAATCACATTTTTGTTCTCATTCGGTCACTTATGCGTTAAGTACCAATAAAATGTAAATATTTGAAAGCCTGAGAGGAAAAATATTAAACCTCATGCAAAGTGTAATACCATGTTTCAAAGCTGTCAGTTAATATGTGACCCAGTCCATGAGAAAATGGACGATAATGCTTTTCCGTTTAAATTGTGAAACCTTTCACTATCCGTTTAAATCTGTTTAAATGGTTCATGAAAGTGTTTAAATGGTTTGCTCATCTGTTTAAAAAAATTTTAGCTAAAATGTTTAAGCAGTTCGCTTATCTGTTAAAAAAAATTTGCATCTGTTTAACGCTTTTGGTAAAATGTTTAAGCAGTTCGCTTATCTGTTTAAAAAAATTTGCATCTGTTTAACGCTTTTGGTAAAATGTTTAAGCAGTTTGCTCATCTGTTTAAAAAAATTTGTATCTGTTTAAAGAAATTTGCATTCCTTTAACGCTGTAGCAAAAACATTTAAATGGTTTGCTTATCCATTTTAAAAAAAATTATGTTTCATTACATTTCATAAAATTTGAAGAAGTCAGACAAAAATTCCTATCATTATAATTGTAATGGCTGCCCCCCTTTCTAAATTGAGCAATGATCTACCCTGTATCCCCAAACTGTATTGTTTATTTGGGCTCCCACATTACTCACATTTGCAATACTTCGAGTGAAAGCTATGACTCCATGTTTTGTGGCACAATAGACAGGAGCAAGTTTCCATGGCACCAAGCCTTAGACATGAGGGAAAAATAAACAAATAAAAATTAACTAAAGACAACAAAATCTACCAAATTCCAGTAAACTTTTAAACTATAGTATAAGTGACCCTATTCAAGAGGCAATTAATATGATAATCATAGCAGCAACAACAGTATGGGGTCAGTTGCAGCTTCTGAATAATCAACTTTTAACTCCCAGAGAGATCAAGACAGAATTTCTCCTTACAATATTGAAACAATATCAAGCAGACGAGTGACAGAGTAAGACAAAATATCAATTAGGGAATTTTTAGTTGATCCAACACCAAATTCTCCAAACCAACATTATAGCAGACAATATAGAAAATCACCTAAAAAGAGATCTAGGGAGTTGAAGTGTCAATCACCTACCAGCAGTGGATGATGTGTTGATAATAACTGAACCACTTTTCATATTATCAAGAGCAAGAAGAGTTCCATGGATGACTCCTCCCTGAAAAATATTATGTTTCATAAAATTTGATATTCAATCAAAATGAATTTATCAAATCCCCTGATAAAATTTTCAGTTGATATGCTCAGAAACTGAGACCAGTGTGTCAAAAGGGTGCATTGAGTTGCTCTAGTCCATTACCAAATGCAGAAATAATTATATAAATGTCCAATTGGACTGACAGAAAAGGATTTACACGTATGTGTTTGTGGGAGAGGGGCTAACTCTGAGAGGGATATCCAACTCCTAGAAATAAGATGTTTTGTTTGTTTATAGACTCATCAATTTTTTAATGTTTATTTATTCGTTGTTTCAATTTTCTATGATAATCATATTAACCCTTTTATTCTCAAGATCTCAATAGCATTTCTCCTTACTGTATGCCATACAGTTCTTGTGATGTTGGTTCTGAGACTTCCGTATTGCATTAACTAATAATCCCTAATTAAGATTTTTCTTTATTCTCTTCCCTTGTCTGCTTGATATTGGATCGTAAGGAGAAATTCTGTCTTGGGCACTGATGGGAGTTAGGGGTTAACCAAAGACAAGTAAATTGATAAGATTTTTATCTCAGTAATTCCAAAAGCCTACCAGGTTAGTATTGAGAGTTTTGTTCCAATTGTCTTCATCCAGAACAGCAGCATTGTTGCAAACAATGTCAATGCAACCCCACAAAGAAAGAACACTTGAAAATGCCTCTAAAACAAAAACAATAATGTAATTGCCTCTATTCAAGACATTTTTGTTTTACAATTGGTGTGAAGCCAAAATGTAATACCAGAGAGGACCCTCTAAACTGCAGTACTGAAAACTACAGGTACTGTAGCAAACATTTTGAGAATATCACATTATCATAAACAGAAATATCAACCTTTCAAACTGCTCTCAACAGAAACATCACATCTGATGAAAGTTATTGATCCAGTTCCATACTTCTCTCCCAATGTTTTCTCCACCTCTTTCCCTCTTTCGTCATTTATGTCAATTACAGCAACCTGACAACATGTTCAACAAAATCAATGAATTAAAAAGTTGTTTAATTCTCTCATGAAACTTTATTACCCCACTTATCAGTTAAAGGAATGATAGATAAATGAGTGAGAGAAAAAACAAATGAATGAAAAAATATTATGATTAAAATTATTATAAGCTGAATTACACAGGCAGTTTGATTAGTTCTTACTTATGATCTACTGAAGGACAGATGCATAGATGGTGTCACCGCTTGAAATTTTTTCCTTCTTTATTATGTATTACAAATAGATTCCAAGTTGCCGTGGGTCAGTTCAGTAATAGATCACAGAGGATATCAATATGTAGTAAGAACATCAGTGACGGCTGCCCCTGACGTGCCACTTTTTTGTCCTTGAACAGATGCACAGCAACGTGGAATCTAATTGTTAAATTAAATAGAAAGAAAGAAAGAAAGAAAGAGTAAATGAATAAATGAATGAATCCAGGAATGAAGAAAAGACGACAGGAAGGAAGGAAGGGAGAAAGGAAGGAAGGAAGGACAGAAGGAATATTATAGATGAATAACAACCAGTAAATGTACGAATGAAGAGTGATTTTATGGTTGGATGGGGGCAGGCAGAAGAGTGGATGGAAAGATACATAGACTGGAGATTTGGAGGAATATGAAGGTTCAGTGCATCAGAGTGGACTATCTTAGTATTTCTAAAATATTGGAAGTCTAATAGGGGTGAAATTAGTGCATTTGGTATGAGTAAAACTTGTCAAGTCTATTTAATCTTGATGGCTGAGCTAGTACTTAGGGATGAATGGAGATAGCCTAAAGCGGGAAAGACTATGGAAAATCTTATCGAGGAATTTCTCCGTAAACTTCGGGTGAAATTTATGTAAAAAAAACAACAACAACAAACTTAAACATAACAATCCTCTCGCCGAATAATTGAATTTATATTACAATTAATCAACCTATATGGCCTCAAAGGTCACCAAAGCGGGAAGCATTTAGAAACAATATGCAGGAAGGACTCACCTTGGCATCGAATTGCAGCAAAGTCTCGCAAATTCCTCGCCCTATTCCGGAAGCTCCACCAGTAACAAAAGCAACACGGCCCGAAATCTTCATTGTTTTAAAATTGTTTCGCCTTAGTAGTTACAACTGTTGCTCTTTTGAACTGCCATATTTGTTTTTCTCTCCCACCTCACAGTAGACTGGGCTCTAACTTAGGGCCCAGCCGAGCAAGTCACGAACAGATAGTCAAGAAAGAGTACTTCAGGGAGGGGAGCCTGAAGTCCTCTACTGCACTGTCCATCCTGTGTGCACAACGTTACTCGTGTGATCAGAGGGCCGCGCTCGCGAGAAAGGTACTTTTTTTTCGAAAAACTTAAACGGTCATGGCAGCAAAATTCTTGTAGGGAAGCCAACTTGTAGCGATTTCCAATTCGGAAAAGAAGAAAATGATGATAAAACGATATTCGGAAACGTGAACCGGGTTTAATACGCACCAAGGACAAGTGGAGACATTAGGCATTAATGATAAAAAGGTTGGATTTATCTAGATAATTTATTTATTTATTTCGCTAATCTGACCTTTCAAACCATTGTACTCTATCAATAAACTTACGATGACATTTTTTTCCTCAGTCTTCCATGGGGTGTTGAATCTACTGACTCTCATCTATATCTATTATCTATATCAACAGCAGCCCATTATAGGTAATGGGCTCCTGATATCAATTAATTCTTTAAAGATGATAGATGCATATCTTATGATGAGGTGCAGAATGCTCCAGGCTCGCTGGTTGGTTTGTCAGATGATGTCATATAACGATCTAAGAGAAACAAAGAAACAATGTTTCCATCAAATCATTCATTATTTTTCCTTTTATACATCCATCTATCCACACATTGATTGATTGATCCATTCATATATCCAACCATATAATCATTCATTCATCTATTCCCTTATCAATTAATTTCATCTATTTAGTCTTTCATTCTATCACTTAATTACTCTTTCACTCTTTCATTCTTTCATTTATTCCCCCATTTATTCATTCATTCTTCCATTCTGTCATTCTTTCATTCCTTTGTTCTTTCATTCATTCATTCTCTCATTTATTCAGTCAGTAAGTCAGTCATTTATCCATAAATACATTAACTCTCAGATTCACTCATCCACCCATCAATCTGTTCATATATTCATTCATGTATTCATCCATTCATTCCTTTCCTCATCCATCCATCCATTCATCCATCTTTGCATTCATCATCACTCCTTTATTTTCGTCCATTCATCCATCTTTGCATTCATTATCACCCCTTTATTTTCGAGAGCCAATAAAGGCTGATGTCTGGCGACATTATACGTACGTCATTAAAGTTAAGATATTCCACACCATCTTCGTAAGTTACTTTCACCACTTGCCCAGCTTCCGTCGATTCGTCTTTGATCAAATCAACTACGCATTCCGCTACGGCCTCTGGTCTGCGACAATAAAAGGTTAACACAGATATCAGTGCCCTGTGAGTTGAAGAAACTGCTGTAAATAACCACGCCTGAAGGAGATGACCAAGATCGGTTTGTGACTCGATGTTCAAAGTTGTAACCTCTGATTTATATAAAAGTACAAAGCTCACTTCTGTTTATGCGTGCTAACTAAGAGTTCTTGTTGCTCCTTAGTAAGCTCCAAGTTTCCCACGGTCTTGTAGATATCCGTGTCTGTACTTCCTGGACATACACAGTTCACGCGTATGCCTTTTTTTCTAAAGGCTGCCTGTCGTTGAAAGGAAAAAACATTAGAGGGGTGGGCAATTGGACGAACCTGACGTAATTGCACGACATCCTGAGAGGAACATTATCTAGGCGACCGAGAGTGGTCATAAATAAGCAACAGTATCTACCAAGGAAAGTTAAATTGAAACATTCCCAACCTACTTTCATTCCCCGACGCTTCAAGTTATGGAAAATCAATTTATGGACTGCTGTACAGTAACTAGTTTATCTGTATGGTATTTTGCTATGAATTATGAGTCGCGCACGTACCGGAGCGACACTTCTTGAGAATCCTACGATACCAAACTTTGAAGCACAGTAAGCAGGTAAAAACGAAACTGGATGGATACCTGTAAAAGATAAAGATCGCAAGCAGATAAATGGTTAAGCGATAAGGAAAATTTTTATTCTCCAGTATTTAATATCTTCCGCAATATCATATACATCTTAAACGAATCAACTCGTATTTTTTGCCTTGTCATTTGTACTCCATTTTGTTCTTCTTAATTAACCCAGACAACGAGCAGTCTCTGCTTTTGACGGAGTCCATCGCTCAAGTTTTCAAAAATCAGCGAAAAAAAACGATGCAAGCGCGCCAGGCGGAACTCTAATTTCCGTATGCCTTACTTCCAGATATTATCGCAGTGCGCTAATATTATTATTTTTTTTGCTTATTTTTTTATAATAGTCTAAAGCTTACCTCCAGTAGACGACATATTTATGATAACACCATTCTTCATGAGCTCAATTCCAAGAAAAGTACTGCGAATGACAGCATGCTGTGGGAAGAGGTCGCATGGATCCAAAAAAGTAAATCATTTCATTCATTCATGATCACAGCCAAAAAAGGTTTTCTCACAAAAGAAAGAAATGTGTTTTACCAGATTCACGTTGAGGGTTTTCTCCCAATCCTGTTCGTCCATTATTGCTGCATTATTGACTAATATGTCAAGTCTGCCATGTTCTTTCACTGTGGCTCTAAATGCAGCTGAGGAAAAAAAAGGGGGAAGATTTCCAATCCCAGAAATCCGCGACAGTCAGGGTAGCGCAATTCAGGTTCGCAAGTCGTCTCTTTTTTCGTTCGGAGTTTTTAAGAGAGCCAGAAAGACTGTTTCCATTCTTCTGTTGGTCTGTCTGTTTGCTTTTTGATTTTTTTGTCTGACTCTTTAACATACATCACTCTGACATTCGACTATGTATTTATATGAAATTTCTGAGGAGGCGTCTAAAGTGCCAATTGCATAGCAGAGGAGAGCTTTGTTTACAACTGTTTGTTTTACCCAGTCAGGCGTTATTTCCTTGTTCAGTTTGCATTAATTAACGTCGCATACACTGACATACACTAACCGTCTAATTGATCATGAGAAGTGACGTCACAGCATATAAATTTGGCATGCCCGTTAGCGTGTTGGCTGGTGTAACTCTTCAGTGTTGCTTCACCGGTTGTTTTGTTGATGTCAAGGAACTGAACCTTAGTGGAAATCATACATTAAATAAAGAAAACAAAGCATTTGTAAATAATTATTTTTCATCGGCTTTATTAATAAATTAGCATTTAATGGAGGAATACAATTAAATATAATTATTTGTTCGCTGACTGAAACAGAAATGAGAATATTACGACGAGCTCATGTGAAAATCCTCGTTGTCATTGTGAGAGATTATTCAGCGTTGATTGATTTCCGGTTGATTTTTTGCGATAAGTGACAGATGATTTAACAATAGGATCATAATATATATTTAAAATGAGAGAGACCAGGGCGTGAGACAAAGAACAGTGTGAGAGAGAGGGAGATCAAGTTGATTTTATAAAATAAAACGTGAAGTTTCGGAACATAGCAGACTCATTAGTCTTATTTCCGACATAACGATTATACTTTGCAAAAAAAAGTCATGTCAATAAATTGAAAGACTGAAAGACTGGGTAAGACCGTTCGAGAAATAAAGAAAGTGGAAACGGCTTTCGATCTGGCCGAAAACAAAGATATTTCAGGAAACGTAAGGCTCTTCTGCCATGGCGTGCCAGTTAAGTGAAAACATAAGTGAGATTGTTGAGATTTTTTAATAACGACCTCAGTCGTATTCGGCAACGCGATACGGCAAAAATGTATTATGATTTTACCTCCTTTTCGTGTAATCCTTATACCGCAACGCTTTCAAAATATTGAAAAAAGGCAAACGAAAAAAGACGAAAACATAACAAAGCAGAATGAAATACTTCAAATTTGGCCGAAAGTAGACAGGAAGAAGTCCAATTCATGCTGTTTGCCATTAATTTCAGGTTAGTCGTCACTACTAACAAACTTCCCCGTGGAATATTGATAAAAAAAAATAATAACGAATAAAAGCCTCTCTGGCTGTAGGTCTTTCACACGCTGCCAGAGTTTTCTATGCTGAGTTATGAATTTTAAAATAAACAAATCCAGTGGATTTAAATGATCGCGAGACAATAAATTCCTTGGTAACTAAGGTAAACTGCATCTGGGACCTGATGCGAAAGACTATTTAGAGAAATATTTTTAGGGAATTTTTTGCTTAGCGACTATAAATCTCTTCAGAGTGTAGCTTTAAAATCGGAATATGTAAAAGCTATAGATCTTATTAAAAGGTGGCATCTTTCAAAACTTGAGGTTTTTCTATTGCATTGTACTCTAAACAATAGTGTTGAACTGATAAATCTGTTGCAAACGACCACAAAAAACGTGAAATCTGATAGCTTTTTGATTTGTAGTTTTCGCGAGTCAAGGCTTCTTCAACTTCTACAAAATCGATTCGTTTTTTACTTTTCACTTCTTTACTGACAATTATATGATAAACAATTTTTACCGAGCCAATATATTATGTTTGCAGTCATTGTAACACCTTGTCAGTGTACAATAAACCTTCGATGGTAAACAAACAATTCTCAAGAATTTCCTTCTCTGTAAAGATTTATAATAATAGTTTCAAGGGGATGAAAACCCATCTAAGCTCCCCTGAAAATGGCTCAAATACACATGTAGTCTTACTCTTTACAAAAAAAATTGTCTTCCTAATATCGTCAATAAGGCTTTGTGCTTAGGCTGTATGTGAAATCGAGGGAACCGCTGTTTGGCAAGCAGCTCTCGAATTAACTAACCTTCGCTCCATCTTGTAAAAGTTTCTCGCAGATTGCTTTGCCGATTCCTGAAGCCCCACCGGTAATTAAGGCCACAGCACCTTCTATCTTCATGATCAATTCACCTCTAAAAGCGCAGAAAGAACCAAACCGGAATATTAAATGTTAGTAATTCTAATTACAAGTAAAACGCTCTTGTTGACATCATTTGCATGTTAGGTGCAAACCATTGTCTACTATTGAGCGCTTAATTTCCTTCACGTCACGAATATGACAACAATTTGACCTACTCCTGTCAATCACAGAATTTCGAAAGGAATACAGTTCTAGAGAACCTTTAGAGGCTGACATTTCGGTCCAAACGTTAAATCATCTTCGAGCTAATTTTGCTATCCAACATATCATTTACATAAAAGTACAAAATCAAATTCTTAGGAAATCGAAATTTATGAAAATTTATTGTCACCAGACTCTGATGGCTTAAATGTGCTTATCATTTTAACCAAAATGGACAAATTGGGATTAACATAATTTTTTGAGATTAACTTTTAGGAAAAGCTCGCAAATGAAGTTGATTTTGACTTACACGATGTGAATTTGTAGTCTTATTTTTTCTTTGTAGGCGGTTAATTAAACACGACCAGACACAACAGAGCTTTGGTAATTGGTCTGTTCTCTTTGCCTGGAGAACGCCAGTCCGTTTGAGCTAACTGGGATACCTTGCGAAACCTTTCAGTCTTTGCCCTTTACACCCTAAAATCAATATGCTTATTCTCCATACTGTTCTCTATATATTTTCCACGGTGCTGACAAGGAGAACTTGTTTTAAAATAATCAAGAACTTCTATATTTGGTGCAGGTCATTTCATTCGTTCTCGTGACCTCAATGTTTGATTCAGGGGTGATATTGTAAGGAGAAACTAGATGTTAGTCACTCTTAAAGATAAATGGGTCAGCAAGGCTAGAAATTCTAATGCTGCGTTGCGCAATTGATTAGCTATAGGCGAGTGAGAAAATTTGTTTTCCAACTCCTCTGGATCTCTTCCTAAATAATAATTAAAAAAATAATTATATATATATATATATATTTATATATATATATATTTATATATATATATATATATATTTATATATATATATATTTATATATATATATATATTTATATATATATATATATTTATATATATATATATTTATATATATATATATATATTTAACACCTTGGGATTTCACCATTTCGTTTAATGCATTTTTCTAGTCTATAAATTCAGGATTTGATTGACGCGTTTTTTTGTTGTTGTTGTTATTGAATTACTAGACGGAGTCTGGCTGAGAAGCAAATATATACAGAACCTACTAGTGCCAGGCTTCCTGTTGAGCCATATTCCCTGCTGCGTGAAAGATGCTACTCTATACTCTACCGTATTTATATTAATAGATTTGTGCAAGGAGATTAATGGAAATGAGGCTCAATGAGTTTAAGTCTTGAGTAACAGAAATACTGTAAATAATTACGCCGTTATATATATTTCCTTGTAAATACTTCTGCATTCGCTGTCTCCTTGCTTCTATATGAACTATTTTACAACACATTTCTTCGCCTCTTAATTCGGTATTTGTAAGGGTATATGATTTGAGAGATAAGTCTGCGCGACTAATTAAATTAGCTAAGAATATACAATCTTTGACCAAAACAGGGAAAATCATGAAACGAACTTGTCCGTCTCGTGACGAAGGCGTGAACTGGAGGAGGAACACTATGTCGTAATGAAAGCATAGTGATAACGCAGACAGGCACGTAACCTTCAATCACCTTTCGCAGTTTTGAGACACTGAAAACTGAAGCGAGGCAAAGTGAGAGGTCTTCCGACGAATGACTGATGATAGATCTGAGAACAAAGAAGAGCCACTGTAATTTGTAATTTAGGAGCCACGCGTCGTGCAAGCTAGTGACCCCAACAAATCAATACGACCCCCTCTTGATTCAGTTTCAATTCTTCCGTGAAGATATTGCGCAACGGTGATGCGAAAAACGCAGATGACTCAAATACGTGTGCTTTGATATTTGTTTAAAGTGAGGACAAAATGATTCGGTAGACCATAAAAGGACAATTTACAGACACGGAAATAAACAGAATAAAATAGACTAGTCGAGGGTTATTCATGCAAGCATACTCAGCTGTAAAGTTCTTTTGTGTCGACAGGGAGGATCAAATTTAGTTAATGCGTTATTTCCGTCAGACATTAGGGCGCATTTCCTATATGTAATGTTATCTGGTCTTCATATGCGTCAAACGTGGGACGTTACGAGCTATCCATGTAAATAAATTCGAGTTTTCAGAGCAGTTTCTTCTTAACACAGGACTGAGAAGAAGAAAAAGAGGGGATAATCAAATAACGTTAGCTGCAGTCTACGATGCTTGACAAGCTCCTTCTCAGTGCATATTTCATCCTTTTGGCTGGAAAATGGTCCCACGGAAAAGGTGAGTCAGCTACGCAACACTGGCCAAATTTAGGAACAGTTCTAATTCGTTAGTGCTTTCGATTTATTAGAGTCAATTAAGAACATTTCGAGTACCAGCTATTTGTTTATTCATAAAAGTCGGCGCTGAAAAGATCGGGAATGATCGAACGTTTTCAGTATTACGAAACCAAGACAGCATTCAGGTTTAAAAATTTCTCCTGCTCATATCTTATGATCAGATCGTGAAATATTTATCCAGTATCGTACATTTTTTGCATTAGTTTATTTTAAAATCATAAATGGGGCAAATAACCAGGGCGTTCCCTCTAAACATCCTTGCAAGCCTTGTTTGCCAGTGAAGATGCAGACCGTGGGATATTATTGCTAGTAAGGATTTCTTCAAACCGAAGTAATTAGTGTCAACTTTTGAGCGCTGACAATTTGAGATTAACCATTTACAAATTTTTGATGATCTATAAATATTTTTCTTAAGCGTCATTCGCCACGTCTTTTTTGATTTTCACAAACTTATTCGTTTCGCAATTCCTTCGATTTTACCCACATGACCTCAATGTCTCACCCTTAAGAGTTACGATATTTGCTTTCGGCATGGGATGGGAAATTGATTTTCCCTTTTCAATACTTGATAGATTACACTCCAGCAAACTTTACCGCGTACATGAAGTTGTCTGCTGAAATCGATGAAGATAATTCTAGACTAGGTATGTATAGAAGTTTATTCTATAACTTTATGTCGATCTTTGAATTAAAAAAAAACGGCAGTACTATAGGTTTGAAATTCTGCTTTTCGCGGAGGGTTTTACCCCCTGCGTCATGCCAGGTTCATTTAAAATGATCTTGCGGTCCCGCGAGGTGACGTGCCGCCTCGCTGTTATTTTGGCGAGGCGTGGTTTTGGCGAGGGAGTGCTCAGTATTTTCTTAAGGAAAATTATGGCCGCCACTTTGTATTTTAGTGGCAGCAGAAGGCTGGGGAGAGAAAGAAATTTATACCAAGGGGGCGGTCGACGGTCAAAATTAAGGAGAGGGGTGGGGGTGGAGGAGTGAAGATTAGTCATGGGGTGTTTTGCTTTTCAACAGCTTCTTCGAGCAGGCGTCTTCTCGCCTTCCCCCTCCCCCTACCTCCACCGTTCACTCTAACTCCAAAGCGAGCTTATAACATTAGCTTGCCCTAATAAGACGCTTGCACTGCAGGCTACCTCGCCGTGGCTTTATGCGCATTTAATAGCGCTTGCCCTACCCCTCAATGGCAAGAGGTCTGAATCGACCTTTGAAACGGCGAAAAGGGAAGATTGTTGACAAGAACGTTGCGTGACGTGACCATTTCATCAAAGAAGACTGTCTGATGGTTAGGTTCAGTATTAGAGTGGACATCTTGCGTAACTTATTTTTTACGAGGGGAAACATGAAAAAACCTGACTTGTTCAAGGAACATGAAATTCTCTAACTTTCCTGAATTGTGTAGGTGACGTTGTGGATCAAACATGTTTGATAAACATTTCATTTTTCTATCTAGGCTCCCGAGCAAGGCTAGGGCGGCCATCGGTCACTTGGGAATGTGAACGAGTAACGAGAGTCCCTTCGCATGTTCAACGTGGATATCGTTTAAGCACCTTCTACCAGAAGTACTTGCACGCATTCGGTATACCTGTCATAAGTTCCAATAGAGTTCAGAATGATGCACTAAAGAGAGCATGCTACGTTGTTGTATTTCTATTCGCCGACCGCCAAGATATTCGCTCGTGGTTTTACAAGCGTTATGGACGTGCAGGTGTGATTGCCTACAGTGAGGGTGTCACGAGTATTCCTGAGCACTCGTGGCTCGGAAGCTGGTGGAACCAACGGGCAAGGGGATTGGGGGCGACCATTAGACATCCAATATCTACAGGTAAGAACATGCTCTCTTAAGAAACTTGTTAAGAATTTGTGACATAAAATTTAGTCTAGATTGTCAGAAAGGCACTCTATAGCCCTGCTCTATCGTATTATGTACAATCGAGCAAAGAGACCATTTTTCAACCCATGCTATGTAGAGAAAGCGCAGTTACCTTTCGGCAGCTGGTGGGAAATATTCCTTCAACCCTTTAAATCCTATGACAGAATTTCTCCTTACAGTATCAAGACAATATAAGGCAGACAAGTGATGAGAAAAAAGAAAAATATCAGTTAGGGGATTATAAGTTGATCCAATACCAGGGGTTAAATTTCTGATCGTAGCTACTCCATGTAATTATGTATCACAGATTCGTCTTTGTTTTTTTTCTTTTGGTTTTATACGGGAATACTGCCCTAAAGCTTAAGCTGATTAGCTCCGCGTGAAAACTTTATTACTTCTTTGCTGGATGATGTATTGAAAATGTGAAGCCAACGAACTCTGCAATGAGGTTGGAGGGTTTTTCTTTTATTCGAAAGAAATATTCCGTTAGAATCATTCCGACATTGTATTATTAATGTGAGGCTTTGGTTTCATTCCAGGTGGAGAAGAAAACCTTCTTTGCGACAGAAGGAGAGACCGCTATCCCAGAGAGGACATTTTCCTTCACGAGTTTATTCACGGACTACATAACTTAGGAATAGCCTCAAACGGTGCAATTCCAAACTTCGATGGCAGGCTGAGCCAGCGATACAACTACCTGAGACAGACAGGCGCGAGATGGAGAAATACCTACGCTATGTCTACTGACCGGGAGTATCTCGCCGAAGGTGCCCAGAGTTTTTTTGATTGTAACGATGAACAGATTCCAACAAACGGAATCCACAACCACGTCAACACCAGGATAGAGTTGGCGAGTTACGACCCAGTACTTTATGGATTTCTCCTGGAGATTTTCCCTTGTCGGAACAAATATGTAAAGCGATGCGATTGGCGAAGGGGTGAGTTACAATTTCTCATAAATTATAAATTGTAACAGCCTTCTTTTAAATATACCTTTTGTGAAATAACGAGAATGGGCCTCGAATAAGCCATAAGACCGTGCAAAAAAACAGAGAAAACTGTGCTGCTGAACTGTTCATAGAACTTTCAAACCTGATAATCCTTAGGCAACTGATCACTGATTTTGGTGTTCAATTTTGTTTCTTTGCGAATGAAAGTTTCCTCTATAGACCGAGGTGTTAGTCTAGTCTAGCAGACAGACTAGTATTCCGTCATAACCATACTCTATTCGCCGCATGTAGATGAAATTGCGATGAGCTTCTGCAGAAAAGCGGTAGTAGGTGTGTAAGACCTACGTGCTTCTTGCTTCCAGTATTGCGTTTTATCTGTTGGTTTATGCTGTAAATTGCGTTAAATAGGATTGAGTTTCATACGTTGCTTGGTGTTGATTAACAACACTGATGTACGTTTCTATGGGCCACGTCGATACCAGGGATGAGGTGTGTTTGTGTATGTTTAGTGCATGTGTTGCCAAAGAGTCTTCCATGAAGGTAACTGTAGTTTGCCAACGGAAAAGTGTTTCAGGGTGGTCAATCGACACCTTGATTTTTCTTTCTTGCCTGGGTGGCTTTGTATCATTTTCGATAATGACAGAGAGGCATCAGAAATTTACTTGCATCTAAGTGGCTTATTGTGTTAAAACTACCTCTGAAAAGAAACTTGCGATACCTGTGATATATATACTTTCTCCAAACGTGTCCGTTTTCTAACATAGACTTTGATGGATTTGTTCTTAGGAAATAGGCAAGTTCGCTTCAAAATGAACTGTGACAGAAGTAAGTTTCTTTAACTTATTCATTTATGGAGCTAGGAATTAGGTATCTCTTCATTTGCTTGTTTGTTTGTTTTTTATATATTTTTTTTTAAAAATTTATTTAATTATTTATTTGCAGTGAGGCACAGCATCTGTCCATTAAAGATCGCTTGCGCTAAAGAAATCTGCTTCGAATATTTTACAGCCCTTATTTTGTATATTCTCGATACCTTCCCCTTTTGAATCTTCCTGCCACATCCTACATCAGTCCCCTTTAATTTTCAAACATGTGTCAAATATTGTTTTTTTGCTTTTGTCAAATATCACGATCATCATCCCCACATCAATTCATTATATATCATCTTCATTTCTTAGGTGGCAGAGGAACCCTGATGGATTTTCATACGAAGCGACCTGTAGGATCGAAACCGCCAACGGCATCCCCGCCCAACACCACTCCTCCTCCGGCTCCCAATACTCCCCCAGCTCCTAACACCCCTCCACCCCCTAAAACATCTCCCCACCCGAACACCCCACCTGCCCCAAATACCCCTCCCCCACCAAAACCTCAAACTCCTCGACCACCAGGTGAGCAAGGTCATGTGTTTTTTTGTCGCTCCGTGTGCAAATTATGATTTGAGATATAGATGCTTCATTTGCGAACAAATACTACTAAAAGGACCTGACCGCCAAATTGCACCGTCATGTGGTGTCAATCGGTGTTAGGGCTGAAATCAATTGAAAACCCACAAGGGTGCATTGTGTGTGAGAGCAGTTTCGTGTGTTCGTTCTATATTTTTGGCCTTTGATCGTGTTGGCACACTATACCGAGCTGTAAAACATCTTTAAGAGATAAATAAAGACCTAAATGTTTCGTTTTTACAGTGAATTGCAAAGATCTCCATTTTAGCTGCCCTTCTTGGGCAAGGAGAGGCGAATGCACACGCAACCCAGGATACATGTTAAAGAACTGTATGAAAAGTTGCAACAAGTGCAGTGGAGGTGGAGGAGGTAAGTATTGTCTTTTACCAACCATAAACCATAATGATAATCGTCTTGGTCTCGGGATCGATGGTGCTACTCATGCGTATGAAATGTGTATCAAGAGCGTAGTCTAATCGAGAGAGTAGTCCTGGGAAGGACTGTCGTCGGTATTGGTGACTGACCTTTCGACAACCTGAGAGTCAATTGCTACTACCGACAACGGTCCTTCTCAGGACTACCCTAACCAGGACGATCGGACTTCACGACCACATGTTACCCCTGAGTTCAAACCATTTACAGTTAATGAGTATCGACAGACTTTAAGGAAAAGCTGGCGAAATCAAATGAGGAAACATAGGATAGACTTGCATCACATCTTGACAAAGTAACAGTTTTCCTTAGTAATAACTTGACTTTTTTGTAAGACGTACCTGGTGCTCTAAGAATTCCAAGACAGGCCCAATTAAAAGCTGAGGTTGTATGGGACCGGGTGAATTAGCTCTAAACTTTTAAGGTAAGGTCAAGTAAGTACTCGAGTCACCTGGCCCTCCCAGCCACAGCTTACCCCTATTTCCACAGCATGAAGTGACTATGAGTATGGCTACTACCCCTTGATTGGGATGCTGGTCCATTGCAGGGTTACCCCTCAGCATTTATACTCCTGAGTTGAGAGGAACACTGGGAGAGTAAAGTGTTTTGTCCTTGAACACGACACATGGACCCGGCAAGGTCTCGAACCCAGACCTCTTTAGCCGAAGTCCAGTGCACTGACCGTTAGGCAACCCTCGAGGGAATATATCTACATGTATACAGCTATTTCAATTTACGTTGTCGGATCAAAGCTTCAAGGGTACGGGACAAGACCGAAAGGCGGTATGGGTAGATAAGAATTAATTTTAGGCTTTCGGGGTTGTCATCTTCGCTGTATGGACGAGGCATTGTTAATTTTGCTGATAATTATTCATTAAGATCCCATATTCCCCTTCGGTCTTGTCTTGTAGGCTTGAGGCTTTGATCCGACAACGTAAATTGAAATAGCTGTATTTTTAAAAACATCAAGACTTAGACATTGCATGCGAAACGATCTCCCTGAGTTGAAATGAAAGAGATTATACAGTATCCCTTTCTCGAACGAAAAGAAAAACAAACTTCTTTTTTGGTTTTTGCAGGAAACTGCGTTGATAAAAACCGAAACTGCAGATGGTGGGCCCGATATGGTGAATGTCGGAAGAATCCAGGCTTTATGTTGGCTTCGTGCAAGAAGAGCTGCCGTCAGTGTTGAAGGAGGGAAAAAAAATATCCATGTACGTGATGTGGGAAACAGACTTAGAATTCTGGATCGAGTCTTTTTTTTTTGCACTCGGATTCTCTAAGAGATCGATGTTGACACGAAGATACTGAAAAATCATTATTTGAAATCGGGTCCGAAAGGGTGTCTTAATAAAATGCACAATTTCTCTGTCATAGTAGATTTCATGAATAATCCTACGGAAAGCTTTAATTGACAGAAATGACAGGTGCATAGGGTTCCTTTACGATAATATTTAATATATTGTAATTAATGCTACGAGGAAGAATTAAATTAGGGAAAAAAAAAACCAACAAAAGAAAACGCAATACCATTCTCCCGCTCACTTTACGTTATTGTCATGGTATGGTGTTCTCTATACATTTGCTGTGGTACTGTCAAGGAGAAGTTATTTAAAAATCAATAGCTATTATAGTAAGCGATGATCCATTTTCCTCTCATGACCTTAACGTTTGAATCCGTGGTGATGCTGTAAGCAAATATTAGATGCTGTAAGCAAAAATTAGATGCTAGTCACTCCACGAGGTTGAGGGGTCAACCCTTTAAACTCCCACAGGTGATTAACATGCAATTTCTCCATATTACATCTAGACATCATCCAGCATAAAGGTTATGAGAATACTCAAACTTATCAGGAAGAAGTTGTTATCTTGATCTAACACCAAACTCTCGTTACTTATTTACTGGGAATGTTTAGCAGCTAGAGAGGAGAGTTAACGACCAGATCTTGGAGTTAAAGGGTTTAACAACTCTCCATCGAAAACTCGGATGAAAAGCGTTATGCGTTTATAAAATTAAAATTTAATTTTTTTCTCCTGATGATTTCCAAACACAGATAATAAAACACACTTGCCAGTAGAATAAAGCGTGTAGAAAATTCTGCAAGGTCAGAGGAAATTTGTTTTTCAGAGAGTTTTTAAGAACTAAATTTCCATAGTCTCGAACTGTGTTTATGAACAATAATGTTTATTATTTATTTATTCATGTGACTTCGCAAAATTTTTTTTTTCCATATTTCTCAGCGTTAATAACTTTTGGTAGAAGATCAAATTTCCTCTTTTCAATTTGGATCAAACACAAGGCATATTATAATCTGCAAACGCCAAATGTCACCTTTGAAAACCCTTACGACTTTTCAATTTCTTATAACCGCGGAGATTGTTTTCGCGCATAAGCGAATGACACATAAAAATGAAAATTGTTTGTTTTTAAGAAAGCCACCTGTATTTTTCAAGGTTTCGTTTTGTAAGTTAAGATTTCAATTGTAAATGGCTGAGGACGATTTCCCGACATCTGTAAACAGAACATGAATTTGCATTTTGAGACGATATTTTTTTAACTGAATCGGATCTCGGTTTCGATAACACTGCTTGTGACTGTGTTTCAATCTTTTCTCATTTTTCTAATTCATCTACAACGGAAAAAAAAACATTAAAGTTTGAGTTTTGCTTCAGTTACATTTATTGTTGAATGCGCATATTCTGCAAGGACGGCGAAAGACAAATATATCTACGAGTTAATCCTTATGTTTATGATTGTGACTCCACAAGAAGTTTCAGAGATGTTGTATTTATAATTAGGATATCTTCATTATAAGATATTTGAATTCGTCGTTAATGTTTATCTATGTAGCTGTATACGAGCATGACATATATATCATTCGCAGAAGCTTTTGCTATTTTTAGTCGCGCTAATAAGCTATATACACATATTCATAACCGGACGAGGCAAGACGTTATATCGGTAATGTACTGAATGCTCGTGTCTAACAAACCTTCCAGATGACTTTTTACTACGAAGTACACGTCTAGAATCGCTTGTTTAAGACCCGCAAAAACTGCCTTTGATAATGTGAATTATCTGTAGTATCGCAGACACCTTTTTTTCTGAGCTTGTGACTCATGATGGAAGTGTTTGTTGTTTCGCCGAGCCCTATTTTACGCGCGTGAGTTTCGCGTGAGAGCACCCGAGAATCGTTCTTTATCGTTTCGGGATTTTCCGTGATCGTTGCCTCCAAAACGCGTGATGAGGAATCCTCTTCGCCAACGCCTGGCGTCGCTCCATCGCTAGGGAATCGTTCCTTAACTTTATATCGTTCTGAAACTTTCTCTGCCTCGATGCCATAAGTGCGTCGACCCGTTATTGGGTTACTGATACTGCGGAAGACTTTCTTCTTCTCTGGGAGTTGCTTTCCTTCGTTGCTTGGCGAGTTTGGTATCGTTCGTTCTGATCGAAACATCGAACTATTTCTTTTCAATTTCCCGCAACTGTAATCGTCGAACGACCTCGAAAATTCACCTTTTTCCGTGTCGCTCACCAGATTGTAGCTGTACTGCAGAATGCGTTTGTCGTCTCCACTAACCTGATTAGTTAAAACCAATGCATTGTAGGCGCTTTCTCCGAGTTTCGACACAGTGGAATTACTTTTTATTTTCTTCATCTTTCTTAGAGCTGCAGCTATATGTTAATCCTCTCCGTCACGGAAGGTTTTTGTACAACGACGAAAGGATCAATAATGATCGAGTATTTGTGCGGATTATGAACTTGATGGAGTCTTTACAACTTACAAATACAACTCGCTGTCGGTGAATTCATCTTTTACCCAGCAAGGGTCGTGTTATTGAAAAACAAATAGAAAGTGTTGTTTTAATAAGTCATTTCCTATGCACGCCTATGACTTACACCTGGTTTATTCATTCTATTCTAATTACCCGTTTGCTTTGACGCGATGATGCCCTAGATCAAATTTAAAATTCTGTCCAATTCAAGAGGACAGCTTGATTACAGTCATGCTGTTTGCATTCACTGATAACCTGGTACAAACATTCGAATTCGCTAGCAAAACGAATAAGCTTACAAAGGAGAAATGAATAAGGAAAAAATAATTCATGAGAAAGGAGAAAGAGGGAAAGAAAGAAAAAAAGGGAGAAAAGAAAAACGTAAACAAAAACACGTTGTGATTGCGATCAGAATGCGCAACTGAAAGTGAACTTCATCAACACTGAACTTAGTAAAAAGTTTAAAATTCTACGGATTCTTCACAGGAACACTTACAAAAGAAAAGGGATCGGCAAGTTAAGTTTTTTGTTTGGTTTAGTTTCATTTTGAATTTTTCGCGGAAATATTCGATGAGGTTTTTTTTTTTTGCGCCAACACTCTAATAAAAATCTTTTTTTTTATGAATCAGTTGACTTGTTTGACTTTTAACACTTCAGTTTTTTTCTTTCTTCACCAAACGCTCCTTTTCGTTTACTTTACTCTGATGGTCTGCTCGTAATTCCATTTACAAACAAAGCCCTGCTTGATTACAGATATATAGAAATAAAAAAAAAAAAAAAGAAAAAAAAGATACATGATCTCAGAATTAAACGAAATAAATAGTGAACAAACTTGATCGGAAAGTACCTAAGAAATAAATCGTCTCGCAGATTTTTAGAAAAGGGATTAATTTCAGGATCTTTATGTAATGAGGCCAAAATTTGAAGATTTTAATCTTGCCATTTTCAAAATTCAGCTTTATATCTTTATGTTTTTGTTGTATTCGAATAACACATCCGCTCTCTCTGTTCCGCTCAGCTGCAATCAGTCAGTTCTAGGCTTGCTTATTTACTTTAACTAAAAGCATTTTGCTAGCCTTCCTCAACATTCTGACTGTATGCTGCTTGAAAAAATGTATTATCTCCGGAATGGAAAAAAGCCAGCTCATGAGCAACAAAGCCGATTTTGAGAAAGTTTTCCAAGAAAGCATCTTGGCTACCTTCCGACGTGGAATCCTCGCACGTTGTACTGCAAGATTACCGCGTGTCTTACACTTCTAGTATGTTCCGATGGAAATGACGTAAAAATGTGGAATAGTTGCCTTTCACGATAATCTATTGGCTGGCGGTTTTGTTTTTGCGAACGGTGAGTCGCGAGAGGCTTGGGAGAAAAAATGGTTGACCCCTCCCGACTGGACCACTCGACTGCTCATCGCACAAAACCGCCAGCTACGCAGACGAGGGCGTAAACCCTGTTTACAACGCTTTTTTAAAACCCCGGCCTACATTCTGCTATCGGAGTGCATATTCTCCATACTGTACTTGTAATTAAGAGCTTTCTTCGTTGGTAATTATTTGTGATCCGTGATTCAGAGGTGATATTGTAAGGAGAAATTAGATGCTGGTCACTCTTAGAGGGTCAAAGGGTTTACTGAAGTGCGCCAAATGCGAAGATGAACGGAAACATTCCAATGTTTTCAAACGAAATGTTGGTTTCATAGCTTGAGATAAATTGTACTAGGAAATTTTTTTGCTCAATCAATAAAAAAGAATATGAGATCGTCAACAACCTAAAGGCAACTTTGGAACTTTATGTTATGTGAGTGAATGCGATTGAATCCTTCGAAATGATAGCCTAAATAAATTCTCTCAAAAACCTTACAACCTCTTCCTTCAATGGGTTTATTTCTGTTTAAATTAAATTTACGTATAAGTGACAGAAGCGTATCATAAGCTCCTTTCAGTGATGAGTTTAGGGAATTATGTTAATCACAAATCTCGTTGTTGTTTTGGTCTATATATGTAAAATTTGAACAGCCTCCAGCTAAGTCGGAAGAATTTTAACCTATATATTACGAAAATGTAGCCGTTAAGTCATTGTGTCACTGGCTATCTTAGAATTTCCTATTATACTGACGCAAATGTTGTAGCCAGTACGTAATTACGTTACCGACTTTTTTTATGGTCGGTAATGATATAAACCATCCGAGAAACTTAGAGGCTTCATGAAATGGTGGTATGTGTAGACGAACGAAATTACGAATTTCACCGTTATCTTAACGCCGAACGTCTTATAACAGGAATAACAGTGATGGCAAAGCAAGCAATACAACCCTGGTTTTTTCAATGCCATAAAAAATTGCGCTAGATCAGTAGCCATTTGCAGTCTTTACTGCCTATTTTCTAGAGACTAGAGCTTGGGACGCCTGTGGATACACAGCGTAATTGCTAAGTGTCACGCGTGAGTCAGGATTATCTACATTTGCGTGACTATCGAAATTCAAAGTGAACACATCACGTAAATGACTCAATAAATGTCCAACTTTGCATAAGGAGAATAGGAACGTTGTCGTAAGATCGCGATGAAGTCCGCATAATTTTAAATAACGAATTATCAGAGAGCTGATGCTCATTTCGGCTTTCGATTTTTTTATTCATACGCGTGAAGCAGAAAGTCATGATCGAGGCAGGACCCTGCTCTCTCAGGCAACCTAATTAGTGATTAAGATTAATAACGATGCCCAACACTGAGTCGTGCATAGATTTGCAGTCTCTCATCTCATGTTACGCCCCAAGGAATCCATGTCACAAAGCGCTGACTGAAAACTTATGCAAGTGAACGGATTGAAATAGGCTAATTAGGCCTAATTTGGCGGTGGGTTCCTTTCCGAATAACAAACAAATGAAACATAGCAATACACGGACAAAAGACTGAGAAAGACAGAAAGTTAGCTGAATGTTCCTTGAACTGACCCAGCGAAACAAAAGCTATTGTAGTGAGGCTTAATATCATCGTAAAGACGTTTGCTTCCTGTTCCGTTTTTTCCCAGAAGCGATTACAGTGAAGATCACGTGATGATCAGGAGGCGAGGAAAGTTGCAGAGTTCAAACCTCAATCGTCGACATTTCGGTGTGCATTTGTAGGAAAAGTTGGACCGAAGATCTTTCATTTGGCAATGGAAAATTCAGGTAAGATCGTTAGGGTCTATTTACCTTTGTTCAGCTTCGTTGAGTTTCGTCGTCGAAGTGTCAAAGCAGGGTAAGAAATCGAGGGATCAGTTGGCGCCATCATGGAAAACTGATTCGTTCAGGATCATGTAAAATGAAGTAAAGCTTGGCTGTTTTTCCGGCATAGTAAGATCTCAGTCCAGGTGGAAACAGTGTCTATTAATTCCGCATTTAGTCACTGTAAAGTGCTGCTCTTTCTCTTCTCGAAGCTATGCGTGCTTCAGCGGGTTAAATCGATTTAAGGATATCGTGTGGCCTGTCGAGAGGCAGTGTTGATGTACACGCCACTGATGTGCAGTAAATAAGCTCTTCCAGGGTGAGCAATATCGGTGCTTCTGGGCTTTCATTTGGATCAATCTGTTTGGCTTTGAGCCTCAAAGTAGGAGCTCAGCTCCTGGCTGTTAAAAGATTATTATAGGGGTTGCGTAAATGATATGTTCGATACTGTTCTTTAAGCAGATCGATTGATTAACCACCCTTGTTACCAGCTTTGATTACATGCTTTTCATCGTAACATTTTCTTTTGCGTAGCAATTAAAACTTCGAATTTCATTTGCAATCTCTCTTTCTCGATTCATTGAAGTAATCCATTTTAGAAAACCGCCGGGTTTTTCATGAAACACTGGATAGTTTCACATTGTAATATACAGTGAAGGAATGTGGATCATAACCGGCTTGGCACGTTTGTTTTAGATATTTGGTAAATAATTCAGCCACGCTCGACTGTCTTTCTTTTAGCAACAAAGATCAAAACCAGACAAATTAACATACAAGCCTTAAAGGAAACCTAACTAATTCATTTTTAAGCTCTTTTGTTTCAACTTCAAGGTCAAAATGCAGAAGCGTGACAGCTAATTAAGAGCCATAGTTTGCATAACAAATTTTACCTTATGGCTTGTAACACAACCTTTCCCTGATAACTTGCGGGGTGGTGGGGGGGGGGGGGGGGGGGGGTGTGTGGGAGGTTGCGTACAATTTCAGGGAACGGTGAAGTAGAAGAAAAAGGAAAAGGAAAAAACACCAAGAAACAAAAACAAAACAAAAGTTTACTGGTTTTCTTTAGTGAATCCTAAGTATCGACACATTTTAGTAGCCCTCGTGCACAATTATGCACCCTCAAGCCTCACTTACACGGGTTATTCTGACACTTTCTTGTTCTTTTCGAACGCGTACTCTTTTGATATTAGTGCTTTGTAAATTTTCTTTCATGAAAAATTCACTGGTTCGGACATTTAAAACAAGCTGACGATTATTTTGGCTATTCTAATTAAGATGAAAATTATACATTCGAACTAATGAAATGAAATACGCTTGTCTCGTTTGTTCATATAAACAAGGGAAACTAAAATAAGTAGACTCAGGTTTTAGAGACAATTCTCATTACACGAAGGAACATGTGGAAATTTATTCCTGTTTTTTTCCTCTTTTTTTCCAGGCGTCTGGGAAGACAAAATAAGTAATTACACCAACGTAACTGATAACTCTACTGCTTCCAACGTGAATCTTGCCGAGGCCTGTACGGCCTTTACAATGTCCTTCTTAACCGTACTGGGGAACGGTTTAGTGGTTGTCGCAATAGCAAAGGATCCATTCAGAGAACTGAGAACCATCCCAAACTACTTAATCCTGAATCTAGCGGTATGTGACCTTATCGTGGGCATTCCGTGTGAGCTGTTGCTAGGCCTTCTTCATTACTTTGCTTTCCAGGAATACGAACACTTCCATCTGGCTGTGTATACTCTAATGTATTTCTCCATGGTGGCGTCTGCCCTGACTATTTTGACCCTGGCGTTTGAACGTTATATAGTGGTAGCAGCGCCACTTCATAGCAAAGATTACCTCATATACTCTCATCTAAAACTGGCTATAGCCTATATTTGGCTCATTGCTGCGACTGTCGCGCTGCTTTCACTGCTTAACAATGGCAACACAACAGAATTTCGATTAATCGTTACAGATGCAATTGGTATTCCAACCATGATTTTCATGATTCTTTTATACCAACGAATATTTTACTTGGTCCGAAGATGCATTCGTCAAGATTTCGAAGAAAGTACTGGTAGTCGCGTGAGCCTGGTGCGAAATGTGCCGCAATTGTTTGTGGGCATTGACAGGCGAGAAAGAGAGGTGGCTGTATCCGTGTTCCTCTTTGTCGGTGTCTTTTTCTTGTGCTGGGCTCCCTGTTTTGTCGTGGAAAATATCCTTTTCTTCGGTTACGTCAACAAAAGTAATAACATAAGAGATGAGCTCAAAAGAGTCATAGACTGGGCCAGGTTTTTAGGACTACTGAATTCCATGCTGAACCCCGTAATTTATGCATTGAGATACGATAAGTTTCGGAACGCAGTGAAAGCTATACTCTGTTCATCATGTTATCCCACATACGTGAGCCCACGGTGGTAATGAATAGGTCAGTTAGAACAGGAGTACGTCTCCTTTCGGGACACCTGCGTTTAAAAAACAAGGACACAAATATTGGCTTCAAATGAAAAAGAAAAATGTTCCTGTAACTTTTTCGCTGAAGGAACCTCTGCTTTGGAGCACCTTTGTTCAAAACAACGGGATGCAAATTTTGACTCCGAATGAAAAAAAAAAATGTTCCTGTAACTTTGATATTGTTGTCCTTTCGCTGAAGAAACCTCTGTTTTGGAGCACCTTTCTTCAAAACAACGGGATGCAAATTTTGACTCCAAGTGAAAAAAAAAAAAAA